TGCGGCACTACATATATATGAAGTTTTTCTCGAATAACTTCATATATATAGTGCCGCAATTTTGACTTCCTTTTTGCTCCTGTGACGTCATCTTTGACCTGACCTGAAAATGACCTGAATAAAAATTATAGACCTTATTCGTGTGTACCCTGCACCGTTTACCGCTTGTCGCTATTTTGCTTTATTCTCGAGATCTCGCTGTCGCTCCCGCTCGTCACGAGACCTAAGGTCAACTTTTGACCTTTCGACCTTTCGAGGTCAACATACATGTATTTCGATGCGGATCGACGAGAGGATCACGATGGTGCTATTAGTTTGTTCCTAGTTGGGATACCTTGAAAGTTATTCGTGAAAAACTTCATACATATGTAGTGCCGCAATTTTGACTTCCTTTTTGCTCCTGTGACGTCATCTTTGACCTGACCTGAAAATGACCTCAGTAAAAATTATAGACCTTATCCATTTGTACCCTGCACCGTTTACCGCTTGTCGCTATCTTGCTTTATTCTCGAGATCTCGCTGTCGCTCCCGCTCGTAATAATGGACAGGTCATAAAAATGACCTGACCTGAGGTCAACGTAGGGCGATATCCACTTTTTTATTTTCGCATATGAATGGACAATTGATAAGGCTTTAATCGTCATCAGACAAAATTGCAACTTTCAGTGGGGAAAATATCAAGGTCACTCTTCGAAAAATAGGTCAAAAGGTCACGTGATCAAAATTTTTCAAAAATTGAAAATCCGAGATAGCCAAAATGTTTGTTGGCTGATTGTGCGTTGAACCATATGAAGTTTTTATCGTAGAAAACCAATAGTTTCTGAGTTATAGGCCGCCAAACATAGGGCTGCAGCGCGACCTGCTGGAATTGCCCGAGCTATATCTCGGAAACCGTTGTTCGAAGAAAAAAATCCTTGCCACAGCTGGCTTCCCCGCCCATCACAACCCCTTACACCAGTTTTCAACGAAAAATAAAATATGAGGGTGCAAATTTAATGTTTTATTTGTCGATTTGTCGTGGAACGCCCCAACTGTTACATTCTACTTGTTTGTGTTTTCACTCTGCGCTTTTACTCGGCGCTAGAGGCACTTCTAATGACTTTTGCTTTCGTTTCTTGACCTGTATGCTGTGCTTTCGCTTTCATCCGTCGCACAGTGGCCCTTTTTCAGAATTAGCACGCATTAATTCCCGCATTAGTCTGAAAGTGGTGCAAGACATCACCACGTGATCAAGGACGTATTCCCTGCCAATGCAAAGAGAAGAAAAGAAACGAACTGCCCAAGGAGATTCGGCCCAACAGCGACAGGCCGCTCGACCCAAGAATTGGCGCAAGTTCGCACGGCTCGCCCGCCGGCCCAGGCCCCTCCGTACGCAAGTGTGGTGAGCCCGCCAGCCGACCGCGCTGCACTGACCGCCAGGACGCCCCAGGGCGTTACGTGACCGCATCTACAGCTGTTGCAGGCCACCGTTAGTCGGCCCCGGCCGGGCAGCAACTAAGGTCAGCACTCAGCGCGACGCGAACAATGCAAACACATAGGCGCTTTTGACGTTAGATTTTAAGCCGACCACGGGACTTGTGCGGCTTGGACATCAAACGCGACAAGAAATCGGACAGTTTTTCTTGGGCACAGCGTTATGCCTACATGACATTTCAATTAGCACATCTTATGGCAAAAGTCAAGCCACATTTAGGCGCACACCAGGTGACACCAGCTTCGAGCCAGGTCAATGAGCTTAGTCGTATCGAACAGGAGCCACAGCCGCTCGCGGACTGGACTGGCTCACGTTATCCACCGTAGAAGCAAAATGGCGCAAAATGGCGCGATGCCCTTTGGAGGACATGGTCAGAAGAGATCGGCGATGCGAACGATGTATAATACATGTTCCAGAGTGTGCTACTTAACATAAGGCTTCATATGTATGCCGCCATTTCCAGTTAATAATTGTCCTGTTACTGTGTCCACAATATTCGGCAAAAGTGGTCTATTTAAGTTTATACAATCAAAATAGTGGTTTCTAGGGCTTCTACGTAAACTCAGCTTCACAGCCATGCCACTAATTTTTTAATATTTTCCCATCGGAAGTCTTACAAATTCATGTTCATCTCACCCTACCTTTTAGGGTCCGCCGGTGGTGTCCGCACGCCTCTTGACAAACTTCGATTTTGCGGTCAGTTTTACCAAAGGTAATTATTTTTTTAGGAGGTAAAAATAGCACCATCGGATAGTTTGGAATGTTTTGCACACGATTAGACTGCTTTTTACTCAAAAGAAGAGAAAAAATATTTTGAATTTATGCGTGCTAATTCTGAAAAAGGGCCACTGTGCGTCGGTTAAAAGCCGGCGGCTGTGCGCGTGATAGTGGTGCAACGACCGGACCCGAACGAGGCGCACGGTGAGCGCCTCAGTCCCTCATTTTTGATAATGACCTTATCAAAAGAAGAGTTCAAAAGCTATCGATTGCTGTTCCATGCGTTTTTGTAGCTACCACATTTCCTGAGATAGCGGCATGTTTCTGAAAAATATAATGACAAAATCCTGGTCCCGTGGTCCCTGTGCTCGTAGTACCTCGACGGGACCGAAAGAGGCGCACAGTGTCGCGCCTCAGTCCCTGTGCTCCTGGTCGTTGACCGTTGTGCGAAGGGGTGCGGCTGCGGCGCACCCACGAAGGCTCGACGGTGTGCTGCCGCCCCGACGCACCGGTATCGGCTGGATATTCGTTTTTCTTCTCAAGCTATTTCTACATTTATCGGCAAGTGATTTCATTTCGGCCCTTTATAATAAACTCTTATCTAAAACTCTTCTACGAACATTGTTACCGGCATAGTGCGATTGTGTCGGGAACACAATGGAATTTCGGTAACGCTGGTTATGTCAGTAAGGGATCTGGTATGTGGGGGTAATGGCCCTGCTTGATGCCCAAAAAGGGGGCACGACCCCAGAGGACCTGCCGACCACTGGTCTAGACGCTTGATCAATCGGCAAGACATCTTTCTTAACCTTCGCCCCAGTGGGGGGGGGGGGGCATAGGCGGCGGAACGGGGAGGGCACCGGGGCACCGTGCCCTCCTTTGATTTTGACATTTCAACATTAGCCCTATGGGCGTTGCATGGAAAGAATGGGACCAAAAGTCGGCAGTGCCCCCTCTTAACTGAAGGTGTTCCGCCGCTACTGGGGGGGGCATATGTTACCACCTTGTTGCCTTTTTTGCGTGTAAATAAAAAACCGCGGCGCGTAGCGCCGCGCCGCTTGGGGTAGCTTTTGGTACATCAATTTTGGACAATGTGTAAAATATTTGACCCCAGGTCATGTCAGGTCAGGTCACCAGGTCAAGTTAACTGACCAAGCCTAAAAAAAGTTTGCAATCATGTCCAGCCTGCAGTGTTTGTCAGAAAGGTTTTAAACTTGGTGGATTGCATGCTGTTATGGGTGCCTACAATTTGTATATCTCGGATTTTTTTTATATCCGTGACCTAAGGTCAGGTCAGTGGCGTGACCTTTCCATTACAAGTCAATGGAGAAAAATGAAAATGCCTCTAGATCCACGTGTACGTATAGGAACAGTCCAAATATTTCAGAATCACAATGATTTGGACCACCCGTGATGACCTAGGTGTCATTTTTGCTGATAGCCTCTAGAAAGGTCATGCGAGGTCATTTGAGGCTACAAACAGATTTTTGCCAATAACTCGCGATCGGAAAGAGATAGAACGCTGGGGATGGTCTCATTGTGTTTGTCTTGTTGAGACGCATCGACTGATATGCAACATGACCTTTTCCGGTCAGGTCATGACCTTGACCTGAGGCCAAATTTTCAAGTTGACCTTTCAAGGTCAAATTATAGTTCATTCGACGCGTCTCGGCGAGAGGAACACGATTCTGGCAATAGAAATGTCGTGGCTTTTTGTAGTCGAAAGTTATTGTCGAAAAACACTTTTCGTAAAAACAGCTATTTTTGGAGTTTTTGCCCTCTGGAGGCTTAACCGTTGACCTGAGGTCAATTTTGATAATGACCTTATCAAAAGAAGAGTTCAAAAGCTATCGATTGCTGTTCCATGCGTTTTTGTAGCTACCACATTTCCTGAGATAACGGCATGTTTCTGAAAAATATAATGACAAAATCCTCTGGTGACCCCAATATTGCTCTAAGATGAAAAATGACTGAAATACTTTCAAACGTACGCATTGAGAGCTATCGACTGCTTTTTACCGCGTCTTTCTAGCCCTCTTAGTTTTTGAGTTAGAGGTGGGTGGTAACATATGCCCTCCCCCCACTAGGGCGAAGTTGGCTGAGACCGCCACTGGGGCGCGGGTTAAAGGGACTATCCCACCTTCAAAAAAGTACCGTTTAGGATTCGGAAATGTTACTCATGATATTTTGACGAATTCTGCAAGTTTTTACGCGTTTTCATCGTATACTTTTTGAGATATTGCGACTTTCATATTTCATCGTGACGTCATTTATATCGAATCTGTGACGTAATGAACGATTTACTTCATGTCAATGTGAGGGGAAATTTGGCAGTAAATATACATGTATTGCTCTCAAATATGACGCGGCTCATACAATAACAAGAATGTCTCTGATTGGCTTATTCGTAAATCAAGTGATACTTCACTTGAATGTTTGACAGGCGTTCAAAAGGCAAATGATTAATGACGTCATCAAATGGCCGTTAATAGTTAAGAGATAGGGCCTTAGCTAAGGCCCACTTTTCAAATGAAGGGAAAGAATTTCTTTAACACCACGAAACTGAGGACATTGCGACCAGGATATATAGTGGTTTCTGAACCTGGGCGCCAACTTGGCTATCTCAACTCAGAACTAATGCAAAGGTGGGACAGTCTCTTTAATGATATTTATTCAAAATCAAAACCGCACCTATTGCGACACGAGCGAGCCCAGATCCTATTGCCAAATGGACTGTGTAGCGTGCGCAGGGTGTGAGTGTGGTGTGAATAGGGTGCAGTAGTAGGGTGCAGTTGCGGCCGGCCGGTACCTGTGCGCAGGCTGGCCGTCCGGTCCAGCGCTCGGCCCAGGATATGGCCCACCTCCGAGTCGGCGTCCAGCGGGCCAGCCATGTTGGGGTTGCTGGTGCTCCTGCCGGATGACAGAGCCGCAGGGAATCGATTCAGGTCACGGCACTGACAGACGTCCTAATCTCTAGCCACTAATTATCATATATGTATTAAGCAGCGAGCAGGAATAAAAATGTGTTAACCGTGAAGCCTTCGTTTCCGAATGACGAATCTACAATTATATACAATTTAAGCGTTAGCATTGCAAGTGTCTGTATTATAAATCATTAGAGTACAAGGTTACGCGATAACTGTACCTTTTGATTAAATGTATATCATGGATGTATTAGTTTGTGTATAGAAACGTTCAATTGAATTCGTATTATTAGGGTAATTTCTGTAACTGTTTTTAACAACTGGGGCATTCCACGACATATTTTTCCTAACTACTCCGCCACCCATTAATAAGTGACCTGGGCCCAATCTTATAAACGTCGTGAAATGGATATGACAGCACTCTAAAGTACAGGCTCCACGGCACACTTTTTCGGTTTTTCGTTTCGTTTTTTCGCTTTTTCGGCTTCAGTAGACGATCAGCTTCACTTGATAACATTGGTGTAGCTCCACGGCAGCGAAACCGAAAAAACGAAATCAGCAACTCGAAAAAGCGACGCGAAAAAAACGAAAAAAACGACTCTAAAAAGCGAAAAAGCGACTCTAAAAATCGAAAAAGCGAAAAAGCGAAACGACTCGTCCAACCCAAAAGTTTGGATCGACAATCAGTTTTTCGGCTTCAGCACGTGACGATGTGGTGATACTGATGCATGTTTCCAACGATTCATATTTCGGTACTCCTAATGGAAAGGAAGGAATGTAATCGCTCAATAGTATTTCAGTGTCGATATGCACATATTTTCCACGTGAAAGGATTGAATAGCGGTTAATTATGCGAGATATATGCACGTATTTATTTCATCTTATGATCTTTTGTAAAACCTGTTCATCATGCTTCATAGCCGCGCCCTGCTAGGGGAGCGGCGTTAGAACACCACCTGCAGATTTTCGCTAATATCTAAAAAAAGGTGACGTTTCGCGCCACTGTTTTTGTCACACCTTATCAAGCACCTTTTTTACACATGCTATGAACACTTCAGGACCAAGGTCTCTCAAGGTCAGGTCACCAGGTCAGGTAACCTGGTGAGGTGGTCAGTGTGACCAATTCAGAAAATGTTCCAATGCTTATCATTGCTACACCAGGTAACGGATGGCTTTGGAACTTTCAGCAATTCAAGAAAGTAGCAGTATGCACAAAATGTATATCACATAATTTCAATATCGGTAGCCCAAGGCCACGTCAATTTTGCGACCCCCCCCCCCCCCATTGCCTAGAAACTGAAAATTGAAAGGCGTTTTTAACGAACGTCATTCTAAACACTCAGGTTACAAGTACACAGAAGCGTATAGGAACCATGGGTGCAGTGGATGCAGCTCTGCAGCTGCACCCACAATAATTATCGAATAGGTGCCGACAGTGCATTCTGCACCCACAATAATCTGAAGCAAAAACCCCTTTTCGCATCAACGCTACTTCACATGCAGTATGAGTTCAGGATATTTTCCCTTCTACCCATCTTTCGAGTCATTTGCTTCTTTGTCTTCATAACATACATGTATATATATGTACATATATATATATATATATATATATATATATATATATATATATATATATATATATATATATATATATATATATATATATATATATATATATATATATATATATATATATATATATATATATATATATATATATATATATATATATATATATATATATGTTACAGGCAATGTGTGGAATCAGGCATTCTATAGAAAGCCTAGGCATTCTATAGAATGCCTGACCGACCAGGCATTCTATAGAATCCCTAGGTATTCTATAGAATCCCTGACTGCTTAGGCATTCTATAGAATGCCTGGCTTAAGCTCCCAGGCATTCTATAGAATGCCTAAGTATTTTGATTGTCCGAAACACACTTCGAAAATTAGGGGTCAGTGGCAGTAATGCTATTTGTTTACCTAATTTTCAGACCATTTCAGGGCAATGAGTTGAGAGGAAGCGAGGGAGAAATTGGGCTATGCCGACCACCAAATTGTGCGCCGCAAGCAGCAACTGATCCAATCCCGTTGGCACGCGAGAGCCACGGCGCAAGGCACGCGGGAGAGCCACAGGCCAACCAGTCGCTTCAACGGTTACCCTCGGAGGATTATGCTGCTACAGATACGAAGCTGCATTAGAAGAGTGTTGGCTGGGAGGGTGGACCGTAGGCTTGAATCGAAAGTGATTGCGAATGACGATGGCTTTGTTCTGATATTAGAAATGAAGGTGAAGAATACATCAAAGGTCACATTTTATGTCGTCATAAGCACTTCGTGTAACGACTCTCAATATACATGGACAATGGACAGCTCAACCCACACTGTAATGGCAGGGAATAACCTGAATAAATGGTTCATTATTCCACGTCCGGGCGGTGGCCCGGCCGTAACAAGAGCCGGATTAGGTGTTGTTCGATCTCCCCTTCCAGCTTGACTTCTGGGCCATGCAGTATTCGAAAGGTCGTCAAAATTATGAAATTTTACTCCAGTTCTTCTTTGGCAATGTTCGAAAGGATGCCATATCTAAAACAAATAGCTAAGCCATTTTTGGGTCAGGCCAATTTTTGTCCATTTTTGGCTCGTATCCCTTTTCTCCAGTTTGACCTTAAATCAATTCCTTAGAAGGCAAACACCTCCAAAAATGGACGATTTGTCAAACTTTTTTCTGTGTAATTTTTTTTTACCAAAGGCGTTTCCGATATTGACATTACCACCATCGTCTTTCTAGCGTTAAGATAAATACTCTGTACTCTCAGAATGAAATCCTGATACAATTTGACCTAATAAGGTCAGATTGAATACCTGACCGGAAAATTTGACTGAATGAACATGAATGACTGAATGAACATTTGACTGAATGAACATAAATAGCTGACCGCAAGGTATAGCCTGGCAGAAAATAGTAATGTTACATGTCGGTCTGTGCTCATAATCTTACTCGTATACAACATACACTGATATGTTGGAAAGATTCGTGTATTTCCTAGGCATTCTATAGAATGCCTGAAAATCAGGCATTCTATAGAATGCCTAGGGATTCTATAGAATGCCTGGTGGGTCAGGCATTCTATAGAATACCTAGGGATTCTATAGAATGCCTGGTCGGTCAGGCATTCTATAGAATGCCTAGGCATTCTATAGAATGCCTGATTCCACACATTGCCTGTAACATATATATATATATATATATATATATATATATATATATATATATATATATATATATATATATATATATATATATATATATATATATATATATATATATATATATACATATATTACATATATATTTGGACTCAGGTGAAAAAAAAACGGAACACATGTGATAGAACACATACACATGACCCACTCTAGAAAGTTTTAGCTCGGTATCTTGAAAACAGGCCCGAATAGGCCGCTTGTACTGTTTATTGTTTATTTGTTTATTTATTGGCATAGCGTCCACAGGCAAAGCCCCACTTACGGATGCAGTCGCACACTGACAATAACAACCACTCACACACACTGGATGGAAATAAATATGAGTGATAACACTGATCAAAATCCAAATAAATTAACAAGATGGCAAGAGCCTAAAAGTAAACCGACAGGCAACAGCCTAAGAATATAGAAGACATGAGCAAAAGCCTAAGAGAATATACAAGTATAGGCGCCTGGCTAATGAGCGAGGCTAAAAGTATACTGACATGAGAAATCCCCTAAAAGTAAACAGCACAGGCAATAGCCTGAAATCCTAAAAGAGTGTAGGTATAAGCAAGAATGACAGTGGATGAAATAAAAAGACAAAAAAGACGAAAAATGAGTGTAGACAATGACAATGAGAATAAAACCGGTATCGGCTAGTTGCTACATGAGGAGCTATATCAGTGACCTTAGGCTAAGTATGTTCCCTGGTCGTTAGCAAATTTGGCTATCTCCGACCTTAGCCTGCAGCTAGGCATAAAGAAATCGGCGTCGGGGCTGCTGTGGACAAGCGAGTTCACGTGCTGGGGAAGACGAATCAGAAATCCTCGCTTCACAGTGTCCACTCTTCCGCGCGGCACATGAAAGAGCTCGGGACGGCGCGTGCGACGGCCGGGTGCCGATAGAGAAAACATGGCCAAGATGTCGGGACAGTCCAAGCGACCACTGAACACGGAGCGCATGTAGTTGATGTCACACTGTGTGAATCGTGACCTCACTGATTCGCAGCCGAACAGTTTAAGCAGCGATGCATAGTCGAGTGAAGGGCACCTCGCCTGTGCGTGAATTATTGACATTATCAAAACTTCAAAATGCAATTCTCCGATACCCTTACGACGTCGTATAGTACACCCCTCGAAGATCGAAATGAGCCCCCCACCCGGTGCCGCTCCCTACCCCCCCCCCCCCCCCGCTCCACGGGCGATGGTTGGATGTATTTCTGCACCCAGAATGTTCCAGCTGTTCCTACGCCTATGCAAGTAGGTACACATGACACAATGAACCGGAATATGGCACATTTTACCTTCGATTACCTTTGGTGACCTGCCCTTTGGCCTACACCTGACCTAAAAATGGCCGAAGCAGTTTGTTCCTTATTTTTTAGCTCTTTCAAGTGTCACCTACGGCGTGTCGCTACGTTGCTCAGGAGCCAAGTTAGAAGGGGTGTTCCACCTTCCAGCAGGGCGTGGAAATCCAGGAGTCCCAGCGGGGCGCCGGTTAGTAGCTGAGCTGCTGGAAGTTTAGTCAAGCCAGTTTCCTACTACAAAACAGACGAGATCTAGTTTAAGTAATTTCCATCTGTTAAAACAGACAACAAAACAGACCCCTATAAAGCCCCTAGGCAAAACTGCGACCCAAGCATTGCACTGGTTGCAAACAAAATAAAAAGAGCTGGCGGTTGCACAGCGCGTTCCAACTAAACAAAAATCAGCGAAACTCGAAAAACTCAAGTCACGA